CCGAGACGCAGTTTCCGCGGGCTCCTAGTCCCGGTCCAGGGAAGTTCCGGGAGCCGGAACTCGGCCGCTCCGTGCTCGGTGTAAGCTCCTATAAGTGTAAGCTCCAAGAAGCAGTCCCCGCGGGCTCAGTTCCGGGAGCTGGAATTCGGCTTCTTAGTGCTTGGTGTTTGCTCTGATAGTAGCAGGGTCCAAGAAGCAGCCTCCGCAGGCTCCGCAGCCCTGAGCCAGGGCGGTTCCGGGACGGTTCCGGGAGCCGGAACTCGGCCGCCCTGCGCTCGGTGTTCACTCCGATAAGATCAGATTTTAAGAAGCACCCAGGCTCTGAACCCTAGCAATCTGTCTGCAAGCCGCAGGCGAATTGCAGCCTGAAATTACCTGTTCTATGGCTGAATGAGCTGCGGTCAGTCAAAAACAGGTATGGTGACGTCAGTTTACCAACATGGTGGCTGCTGGCCTCCTCTGTGGTCTGACCGGTGTGGAGAACCGAGATGGACCGCTTCCTTCCCCCGTCTCGAACCCAGAATTCAGCCCTGAGTGAGGTGCTTGCGCGGCTGGCAGAAACTGCAGCACTGTAACCCTGCGTCTCTATCCCAGCGCGCGTTGCAGACTCTAGCCGCGGGGCGATTTGCTGAATAAGCAGTTTTACCCTCCGTGCGACAAACCTCTCGCGTTTGAGTCCCCGTAGCCGATCCTCGTGCGATGGAAATCCTTCCTCCAGGTTCCGGCGCACCCCACTATTGCTGGAAATTCCTAACAAGATATCCTTTAGCCGTCCTGACTTGTCATACTCCCACACAGTGAAGCAGCACACGGGGGTAATGCACTCCCCTCGCCGCCATCTTCCTTCCCTTCCAAAATAGTTTTTAATATACTCATAATGTTGTACAAGCACTATCACTATTTAACTATAGAACATTTCCTTCAGTTAGTAGAAATGGTCCCTGTGATATTTACTTCCTCATATCACTATCTTGAGCCATTGCTCTCATTTTCTTGGTTAGTTTAAGTAAAGATGTGACAACCGTCTGGCTGAATACTTTTAAAATTTTTTCAAAGAACCAATTTTTGGTTTCATTAATTCTGTGTTTTTCTTCAATTCTCCATTTCATTAGTTTCTGACAGTATCTTTATTCTTTCTTGCCTCCTGCTTTTTTGGGTGTAGCCTTATCTTTTTCTAGTTTATTAAGGTGAAAGGTTAGATAATTAATTAGAGATATATAGGCCTCTACTGCTATGAATTTTCGTCTAAGCACACTACTTTAGCTGCATTCTATAATTCCGGTATGTTGTTTTTACTTTCAGTCATTTCAAAATATTTACTAATTTCCTTTTTGATTTCTTCTTTGACCTGTATTAGCCCTCAGTTCCTGCCTGCGCAGAACAGAAAGCTTATGAGAGGTGGAAGCTTATGACTTTCCTAGGTGTTTCCTAAGCATGTATATTGCTTTGGACATGTGTGTGATCATCTAGATTCTTGGGAATATATCTAAAATATTCAAAACCTTTTGAACACTTCATTTGAGCATTTTCTCTAAAGCCAGTTTTGTTAGTGTGTTGTTTGCTTCAGTAAATATTTATTGCCTCAGGTAGCAGGGACTAAAACAATTTCCTGTAAATATTTTCAACAAATGTTTTCCAGGTAGCAGCTTTAAACGTGGGTGAATTTTTAGTCAGGCCAAATAAGGACAAGCCTTTTGAGCCAGTCTTCCAAGAAATCATCAGACAGGTCAAATAATTCACTGTGAAGGAATGTTCCACGCTCCCCACCCCATCTCCAGTATCAGAAATGCAGGCTATTATTTTCATAGCTACCATTGGACTGTGAAGTAAGGAATGACATTTAATGAGCAAACTGTTCTCACTGACACCAATACCAATTTTCTTGCTCTTTGGGTTCCTGTAAACATTTGGTTATTTTCCAGAATTCTGAAAAAATTGATTTTGACAGGTTTCATTGCTGTTATGGAAGGGTGAAATTCTGTAGTTTCTTACTCTGCCATTTTCATCCGCATTGCTCTTGGCAGTGTCTTTGATAAACAGAGAGCAAAGAAAGACGAATAATTTGTTTCTAGGGCAGAAATAAAATGTGAAAGGAGATCGAGCTATTGTAAGACCAAAATAACTGGTATTGTGACTGGGATAAGTTTTAAAAAATACTTTAATTAATTTAATACTGACAGCAATCTTTTGAGGTGGAAATTGTTAGTTCCTTTTCTTAAAAAAGAAAACTGACAACAGGGTGTTTAGGTTGCTTTCTCTAGATTATACACCAAGTAAATGGCATAGTCTGATTTTTGATCCCAGGTTTTCTGATCCCAAAGCCTATTTACTACTACTACTACTACTACTACTGCTACTGCTACTACTACTACTACTACCAGGGGTTGAACTTGAGGTTGCTTAACCACTGAGCCACATCCCCAGACCTATCTATCTGTCTGTCTGTCTATCTATCTATAGGCTCTTGCTGAGTTGCTTATGGCCTTGCCAAATTGCTGAGGCTGGCTTTGAACTCACGATCCTCCTGCCTCAACTCTCAGCCTCCGGAGTCACTGGAATTACAAGCATGTGCCACTGCATCTGGCCTGAAGCCTGTTCTTTTTTTTTTTTTTTCTTCTTATTTTTTTTGTTGTTGTTCTTTCCGGTTATACATGACAGTAGAACCCATTTTGACATAATTATACAACTATGGAATATATCTTGTTCTAAGACAGACCCCAGGACCTTTCCTTCCCCTTCCTTCTCCTCACCCCTGCTCCCTGTGTTTTTTAATCACTAGGCTACAATTGTACAGGCTGAACTGCCAAATGTTACAGGAGCCTAAAAGAAGTGTAGGCCCAACTCAGCAAAATCAAAAGAGATACAAAAAGCAGCAAACCCTTCTATCACAGGGCGTCTCTCCCGGTGCCAGACTGCCTCATAGGCAGACTAAGATGTTCTCAATGTATTAAGAAAGTTATTTTATTTCCATCTTCAAAACAATGAGAACTTTGTTGGACTTTTAAATACTTATAGTTTTGCTCATTCTATCTATCTATCTATGTATCTATCTACCCACTTACCTATCTGCCATACAATGAGGGGGTCAAGCCACATTAGCCTCCTTGCTGTCTTCTGAATATTCTGAGGATGCTCCTGCCTTTTGAGGTCTTGCTGTTTCTGTTTTGATAGTGGTTAGGGACTTGAAAATTTGTCATTTGGCCCTAGGAGCTGACCAAAACTAAGGCTAATGGTATGGGGTAGATATGGTTCTTCTAATGCTCTGTAGTAAAGACCTTGCATTGAAAACACAATCAGACAGTCATCTTTTCACCAAATACATATTAAGCATCTACTATAGATGTATGTATTGTGTGCTAGGGGCTGGGAATGTAATGATGGAATAATACTACATGAGTTATGCCCAAGAGGATCTGGCAATATACCTGAAGTTTGTGTGCATGCATGGTGGGGAGGAGATGGAAGTAAGAGGTGGTTTTCTTTTATTGGAAAAGGCAGCACACGAGCTTTAGGAAATGGGTGGACTGTTTCCTAGTTTACTTTCTGAAACTAGAAGGAAATATCTGGAGCCTGGTATTCTGTAAAAAGAAAAAAGTTTTATTTAGCTCACAGTTTTGGAGACTGAAAGTCCATGATCAGGTAGCCCCATATATTCAGCCTCTGGCAAGGGACTGTTTGGCTTCATCACAACATGGCAGAGAAATAGAATGGGAAGCAGTCACATGCAGAAGTGGCCCAGTGCATGAAATAGACTTGCTTATAAAAACCTCTGTTGCAGGAACTAACCAGGGTCCTGTGAGACCTACGTTAATCCCATCCAAAGGCACACTCAACATGACCTACCCACCTTCTGCTAGGCCCTATCTCTTAAAAGAGTCTGTCTCCTCTCAAAGTTGCTACCCTGGGATCAAGCTTCCAGTGCATGAGCCACTGGGAAACACACTCAAACAATTTGCAAACCATAGAAGACTTGGATGGGTAAGAGATGGCAGGGAGTAATGGACTTGCCTTACAAAAAGGATATAACAAATCGGGGACATCAAATCCAACTTTTCAATGCCATTAACAGGAATGGGATTAATTAATTACACTTGTCAGAATTGGATACACAATATATTAGGGGTCTAACTTGTACCCAATTTTTGTAAGGATGAGAGGCATCTATCTAGATATTCCCTCTTTTCCTACTGGTCATCATGAAAGGACATTCATAAACCTCCTCCCTTGGTATAATTTCCTTAAAGATGTTAAGGATTTCATTCACTGAAAGAAGAAAAGATGCTAATTTAAGACCAAAACCAGATTGTTCTATTTAGGTTTTTGTTTTATATGAAGACAATCCTTTTCCTCCTGAATTTTTTCTTTTTTATACAATAATACTATTTAAAAGGAATCAGGTGTGGTGGAGCACACCTGTAATTCCAGAGACTGGGAAGGCTGAGGCAGGAGTATCACAAGTTCAAGGCCAGCCTTAGCAACTTAGAGAGACCCTCAGCAACTCAGTGAGACCCTGTCTCAAAATAAAAAGGGCTGGGCATGTGGCTCAGTCACAGAGCACCTCTGGGTTCAATCTTCAGTACTTAAAAAAAGGGGGGGAGGAATCAAAACATTAAATTATTAATTCTCAGCATGACTTTTATATAAGTAAATAGCTAGGTAGGGATCAAATTACAAGAAAAAAATACGATCATCTGTTATACTCCTGTCCCTCGATCCCCACCCCCCCCCAAAAAAACCCTGACATTAATCCTTTTGTTTTGCCACTTGTGGCCCTGGGAACAAACTATAGAAAAAGTAACTGTGAGGTAACTTTAGGATAGGAAGAGGATTGTCAGAGGGTTCATGGTTTACATCCAGAATTATTAAAGTGATGGCAAACATCACTTTGAAGACAGTTAGTGGCCACCACCTCCCAACCACGTACAAAACATGCCAAACTACAAATAAACTCAAGAAGTTACCAGAAAGTGGGTGCTGCCTGTGGTTCTCTTCCCTTCCAGGGAGGTGCTCCATGTGTCCCTTCACTATCTCCGGGTCATCAGCGCTTGCGCAGACGGCAAGATCCGCATTTACAATTTTCTCAATGGAAACTGTCTGAAGGTGATAAAAACCAATGCCAGAGGTGATCCTGTGCTGTCCTTCTTTTTTCAGGGCAACAGGTGGGTGGTAGGTGTAGAGGTTGGAACTGGGGGTAATTGTGTTGGTTGATGTTTTTGTTCTCCGCTGGGACACCAGCTTTGGATTTCCTACCAGAAGGAGAGAGGGGGCAGTGCCTTTCTCCAGTTTTGGCTGCTGTGGAATAATAAGTCTTGTGGGGAACTAATTGGGCTTTGTAGAAAACCTAGCACTCAGGAAACAATAAGAGTTCATTTTGACTCTTCATTCATTCTTGGTGTTTGGAAAAAAATCACGTTATAGGTACAATATAGCTCTTCTGTCAGGAGCATGGTTCTGGTTTCCCTTTGATTATGTATTTGCCTGCCCAGAGCTCCAACAGCTGTCACTGATACTCAGTTCTGATGGAAAGACTTGTAGGAGGGTCGGGGTGGGAGTTACAGTAGCTGGAGAGCCAGATAGGAAGAACTTAGCTAGTGAGTTGACAGAAACCAGTACCATGATGAACTCATTGTATGTAGAACTATGCTTATTGTGTGTGTGTGTGTGTGTGTATAAAATTTCAGAGAGGTAGTATGTGAAAATAAGCACAATTAATGGCCAATTCCACCCTGAGCTCAATTGAGACATCATTTAATCTCTTTGAATATACTGCTGTCCTTTTAATGAAAGTTCATTAAAACTATTAACTCTCTTAAGGAAAAGACAGTGCTGGTAATAAGGCTCAATAAATTAACATTTTTCAGTTATGAAATAATACTTCTGTAAAAGATGGGAATGTAGCTCAGTGGTAAAGCATGTGCTTAGCACCTGTGAGGCCCTGGGTTCAATCTCCAGCATTCCCTCCAAAAAAAAAAAAACAGTCCTAGTCCTAAATTTTTCTCATTCACAGCATCCAAAGAAGATGATTTTCTTTTAGTTTGAATAAAAACAAGCTTGCAAGTTATTTCTTAGTGGAATTTGATTCCATTTCAGTGTTTCTAAGTACAAACAAGTCACTTTTCTAGAGAGTTTACACTAACAGTTTAGGTCTTAAAGTTGTAGCCTTTGGAGTGAAAAGGAATCTGTACATAATATTTCTATTTCTTACTTATAGTTACAGAAGTTTGCTTTATGTAAATGACAAGATGACATAAACTAGCGGGTGGTAAGGAGGCAGTTCTAGGGGCAGAAAGGGCAACTTCAGAGCCTCTTTGACTACTGGGGCATGTAAGTGGGGATTAGAGAATGGAGGTATCATCCTGCTTTATAAACTACAGATGTTCTGTCTACATGTGGAGTGTGTCCAGAGACCTTGGAGGGATAGAGTGAGGGAGTGTGGCCTCTGTATATGGAGCTTCAGCAGAGCAGAGGAGGCATCCTCAGATGTATAGAGTTTTCACTCCCATTGCAACAATAGAAACATTGTGTCTGAAAGCTTTGGATCTTGCAAAATAAAGGAGTGAATTTGAAGATATCTGTGTGCAGAGTACCTAAGCTTCTGCCTTAGGCACCCTAGGTACTGGGCACTCACTCCAAGAACAGAATCATTGAAAAGATATTCTAATCTGAGAAATGAAGCAATTAGGCCATGTGTGTCCCATTAATGCTACAAAGCTAACCCCTCTTGCTGCATGGTCTGATACCTTTCACTGCTCCCAACACTCCAATGGCCTCCACTAGTGTGCTTGGGTGGACATTGCCTGGGTACTGCTCCTTTGGCTTAGGGATGGGATGGGACAGTAACTGCTTTCTATATTTTGGTGGTCTGCATGCTCCTTTTGTGGGCAATTTTGTTTTGGTTCCAGGATGGTGGTCAACACCGAGAGAAATATTCTCATGTTCCAGTTTGAGAATATAAAGTGGCAGTACTCCCTGGAAAGAAGCAAACAAAGGAAGAACAAGGATAAAGAAGATGAAAAGGAAGAAAATAGCCTCATGGATGTTCTCTCCAAGTCTAGCACTCAGGTCCACAGTCTGAGAGACTCGATATCCAGTAAACAAATACTGACCCAGGAGTTCCTACCCAATAAGTTTCACAAATCTCGCATCTTTCTGAGTTCAATGAAGTTAACTTCAGGTAAAGGAGCTAATCACAGGCAAGGAAGTTGCATGACAGGACTGGTTTCTTTGTGGGATATTTTGGCTAAGACTTTCTTGATGTAAATCCAAACCCTCCAGGAAGGTGGGAGCCATTCTCTTTGATCCAACAAAAAATGTTAGCCAGTCAAAGGGAATTTCTTGACTTTTATGACATAGATTTTTGAATTTATTAGAACTTTGGACAGTAGATAAAAGTAGCCTTATTATTTGCCATTAAAACAAAACATGCAAACAACATTTCTCAGCCCCCAAATCCAAACATATATTACATAATGATTTCCTCAAGATAGAGACAAGAAGTTACTATAAGCAGAAAAATGTTCCATGTAGAATGTCTTATCTTTAGACTTCCAAGTGATAATGTATGCAGGTGGAAAGTATTAGTTATAAAGCTGGTGTGGGAGAGGCATGGCTCACACGATTTATATCATCTAAATAATGCAATTACACATGGGTTAGAGTAGCAAGGCTCCATCCTTTAATCTGCCCTATGTGGCATGACATTGGATCCCCAGATCTATAGAGAACACCAACAAATCACTTCGAAAAATGTCATACTACAAATAGTCTATTTCTTGAAGAAGTAAGAGTTTTAGATAATGCTTATAGTTTCATAATCAGGAAAATTATATGGGAGGGAAGTCAGGATGTGACCTAAGCCTTAGACTTCAGGTGACTACTTAGTTAGTTGTCTGGCAATAAGCAATACAGTGACATTTTTTAAAGTGAAAACCACTTGAATTATGAGCCCCCATTATTATTGCTTGTATTATTATTACCATACCCCCATTATTCAGATCTAACTGAATTATATAGTGATTATAGTTTCTCCCTCAATCTTAATTTAGCTACAATAGTAGAGGTACCTCAAAGCCAAGGGAAGCCAAAATCATCCCAAAAAAGATAGCAAGAAGAAAGCTGGTCCTGTTCACAGGAAAGTAAATGGCCTGGATGATGGGCAAGAGAATTTGGAAGCAAAATGTGAAATAGGAGATAAAATTAATGGTGATAGTTTATTCTGAATTAGTGGCAAGATCCTCCCTCTCTTCTGTTTTTCAGCAAGTCCGTAGTTTTATTTCTGAGAATTTAGAATGGATATAATTGCTGCTTTAACGATGACTGGGTTTCCTAATTGTCCCAGTTACTAACTTGAAGCCACAGAGTGAGAAACTTTCTAAGAGCTGAGTGTTCAGTCCCTGCCATTCAGTCTCCTGGCTTATTGCTCTGTTGTGTCACCAATCTGAGTAAGAACAGAAGAGGATGTAGGAATAGTTATAGAAAATTTCACGAGAGGGCAGAGATATTTTTGGGTGGGTGGTGGGTATGTGAGATAAGGAGATGGGGGAGAGAGAAATTGGGAAGGGGATTTTAAGAAGTATTGCTGGACATCATCACTAGACTATCCCTTGTTGTTTTTGAAGGACACTGGTAAAAATTTCAGATGCTTTTAAAAAAATTTTTTTGACTAGTAATATAATAGCATTTGAAACAAACTCCCTGCAGAGATCAGTTTCAAGGTAAGATGAAAACACCTCAGTTTCATGAGGGTATCCTTATATATACCTATCTATGTACCTGTACAGGTCTACCTGTATGGTAAAATCCTAGAAGTGAAATTGCTGATCCAAACGATAAGTGCACTTAAAAAACTATAAAGATACCCACTTGAATCAAAGTGTGGAATATGATATGTCAAGAAATTTGTAATGTTTTGAACAACCCACAATAAAAAATTAAAAAAAAAAAACAACTATAAAGATAGCTGGGCATGGTGGAAAATGCCTGTAATTCTAGCAGCTTAGCAGGCTGAGGCAGGAGGATCACAAGTTCAAAGCCAGCCTCAGCAAAAGCGAGGCGCTAAGCAACTCAGTGAGACCCTGTCTCTAAGTAAAATACAAAATAGGACTGGGGATGTGGCTCAGTGGTTGAGTGCCCCTGAGTTCAATCCCTGGCACCCCCACCCCCAAAAAACTATATATTGCCATGGTTTTTCTTAAAAATGTGGTATCAATTTATAGTCCCACTAAGCATGAGAGCTTCCCCCCACATTCATACCAACTCTGGGTGTTATCTATCACCTTGTACTTGCTTAAATAAGTAAAAGTGGTATTTGCATTTCTTTAAGGTTAATCATTAACAAGCCAAATGTCCATCAGTGGATGATGGATGAATAGATAATTAAAAATCCATACTATGGATATTACATGATAACTCAAAATTTTATGATGAGGATTTATATATGTATTGACTTTGAAAGAGATCCACCATGTATTATTATGTGAAAAAAGATGAGTTAATGAACAATGAACTTATCATCATCCCTGTTTTATAAAAGGAGAAAAATTCTGTTTCATATGTTTTAAATAAAAATTGCTTAATTAACAAAGTAAAGATCAGGGAACAACCCTGAAGTTTCATTCCATCTTAATCTGTCTACTTGAGGATAAAACCTGTTTGACCAAGGTAACTATATGCATATAGTACATGGTTACATTTTATCTGCTAGTGTAGTTTGGGGTTTAGAGCTTTTTCCTTGGTAGCTGCCAGATTAGACAAATGATTTCTATTTTTTAATTTCTACTTTTTTAAAAATTGAGAATGAGGATATTTCCAGTGTTTCTGTGAGGTATTATAGGGAATGAAAAGCCCACATGGGAGATACAATAGGTTTGCTCATCTGTGAAGACATCTTTGGTAATTTAGTGGTTTTAGACATATGGAGATCTTGACACTAAAGTGATATACTGGAAGCATTCTGTTGCTCTAGCCACTGGCTTTTGAACCTGCTGTTATTGTTTGGAACTTTTTGGGAACTTCTCTTTAAGAGCCTGTTTTTATCACTTTGTGATGTTTTGCATTAACCAGGAGTGACATATTCTTTGAAGGCAGGTCTGATTTTAGGAAAAATTCAAATCAATTGGAATAAAATCTGATTAATAAGGTAGAGATCAAAGTTTGCAATACAAATCATTGTTGAAAAACATTAGACACACTATTATAAATTTATGTGACCTGTTTTGTGGGAATCATAAAAGAGAAACTTCCCCATAAGAAAATTTTGAAAAGGTGTGGAACAGTGCAATCACATATGTTGCCTTCAAAATATGCACATCCAGAAGCTAATATACACTTTACACAAGCATTGGCATATTCATTAAGAACTTATTTTGTTACGTGATATCTGGTGTCATCATTTCTGATATCATCAGGACAATTGTCCAAATGACGACATGCCTGTTGGGCAATAAGACCTCAGTGTTGTAGTAATTAGAATGGTTTTCACTTTCTTGTACAAATACTTTTTTCATGGAATGCTGTTTTTGCTTTTGTTTCCCATTTTTCCTTCTGTAAAAGATGATGTGGAAAAGGTACAAGAACAAGTAAAACTGGAAACTCGTGGAGAATTGATGAGCCGCTTGAAGTCAAAGTCCTGGAAAACCCCTATTTCACCTGACCGGTTCCTCCTGACTGTCAGTGCTCTACAACGAGCCCATAATTCTGGGCAATTTGCCTATCTCCACAAGCCCCAAACCCAAGTCCTTGATGCCTGGGGACCTTCAATTTCATATCCAAGGAAGGTCCTGAATTTCAAAGGAAAATCAATCCAACATGCAGTTGATCGCTTGAGAATCAACAATCATCCCATAGATGTGAAACAAACTAGTACTCCCTTTGAAGTCCAGAAACTGCAGCCCAACTTGAAGAAATCTTTGCATAGTCCCAGAGTCCTGTCCACCGTACCCCAGCCCATGATTATCCGCTCTAGGTTTTCTGACAGATTAAAGGGTGAAGATCAAATAACCAGTTCAATTGAAGGGGCAGTGCCCAGTATGGGGCCCCTGACCAGCATGCAGGTCATTAAGCCAAATCATCTGCTGGCTTCCCGACTGGGCACGGCTACCCTGTCTCTCCAGAGAGAAAGGCCTCGCTTCTACACAACCCTGGATCCCCTTCGAATGAACACTGAATTCATGCTGTTGACGGTAAAAGAGGAAAAAGAGTATGAGGAAGCCATGATGAAGGAATATCAGGCCAGCGAACCCACAAGAGTAGATGATCCAGGAAAATCCAGGAAAGCTGCATGGATCCGGAAGGTCAAAGGTTTGCCCATTGATAATTTCATGAAGCCAGGGAAAACAGCAGCCCCTGAACTTGGACAAAATATGTTTATCTAAACCAACCTCAGGAAATTACAATGTCTTAAATAAACAGAAAACTAGGTAGGTTTGGGTAGTTTTTTTTTTTTTTTAATTCCCTGGCAAGTAATGTGAAAACTCCTAATTATCTTCTTGTGATCAAAGGATTGCTATAACAGTAAGAAAACAGAAGGACTGGAAGATATTGGCATCTGCATTCCCACTGGAAACCACTTAGTGAGACTTAGGGAAGTCCAATGTCATCGAGTCGGGTAGGGAGGTGATCACTGGAAATGAGATACACTCATCACTACCAATTTCATGCTATGATTCTTCCTATCAAATGAAATGATGGTGAGGTAGGGGAAAGAGGCAGAGTAGGAAAATGGTAAGAGTCAGTAAGAGGATGGATGTCAGGACCACCGTTTGAGTTGTTTCATCACTTGATGTGCTCTAGCAAGTCAAACAACACCTGTTTCCCAAACAGGACAAAAGGCTCCATTCTTACAAAAAAGACAACTATGCAATTCAGCCTGAGCATGCACACATGACAAAATCTCAAGGACAGGTTACAGGGAGCCAGTCAACTTTTTCTCAGGTGCCTTTAAAAGAAGGGATATCAAGAGACCATGGAGGCACTCTTGCTCCTCCCATACTCTGTTGGGAACTTTCTTACACTTCTGAACCATAACCTCTTTAATAAATTTCTGCTTATCTTGGTATTCATGGTGTTCATTCTTTGACTCTGTGGAACATGGACCCAATCTGGATTTCTACCTTGTGTAACAATGGAATTTATCAGGATAATATATTGAAATTTGTTGCTATGTTTTTTAATGAAAGTCCAATGAATCTCAAGAATCTAAAAGAGGTAAACGTTCACCAATTTGACATTTGCATGCCTTTCCTTCTCAGAATTCTTTAAGAAAATTAAGCATACATCCTTTGTATAAAGGGAGTCTTTAATATGAAGTGTGTTCAGGTTTCTACTTAAAACTTTGGAGGGTGGTGTCAGGGATCAGGGAAGTAACTTAGAGGAGTGCAGCCCTCAAGAGTTGGGAGTAATGGCCCACTGGAGAGCTCAAATCCTGTACATATGGGACAGTTCCTACTCAGTGGCTCAGCATGGCCACATCTTTTGCTTCTTCAAGAAAAGTCAGAAATTCAGATTTTTTTCTGTCAAATGCCCTTTTTTTTTTTTTAAAGGATGGTAATAAATTCAAATAGTATGCATAACAAAAGTAAAAATGACAAAGACAACTTCACAAAACCCCACAATTTTGAGGCACCAAAAACATGTCCAAGGAGGGCTAGACACACACAGGTCATCTATCCACCTTTATGTGCAAGCATGCAATTGCTTTGCCAAGCTTTCTCTCTGTGGGAAATGTGTGTGCATGAGGATGGGGGTGACTTCACATTCAGATATTAGGTTTGAAATAGCACTACAAATAACTGTGTAAACATTTGTGGTTTTAATGAAAAGAAGTCCCTCAAGTTCATCTGAGAATACATGAACTTTCCAACAGCAGTCTGACCTATGCTCGACAAAAGAATGCCATCATTCTAGTTTCAAAGTTGACTTTAAGGCCTGTGAACTTTAGGTCCAGGCAAGATCATTCCATCAATGGCTGGACTTAAAACAGTAACCCTCTCCTATTCACTAAATACCCTGTAAGGATGCTATCGTCACTTCCACTTTAAGATCAAGGAAAAAAGTACAGAGAGGTTGATTATTTAATTGGTAATAAGGGCAGGAGGCTGAAATCCAGGCGCCCAAACGCCAGGTCGCCCGTCGTCCTCAACCGTCATCAGGTTATTTCCATTGATTTGATTAACTTTTTATCCCTTCCCAAGGCCACCTTTACTTTTCCAATTGCTTCTAAAATTCAGAGAGCAAAAGTAGTACTATTCAGAAATACAGGTCACTGTCAAATATTCCAATGAAGTTAAATGCCATGGAATAAAACCTGGCCCTCTGCACTCAGGGCATCGGCCTTGGCGAGAATGACTTCACAGTTTGCACTTCATCGCCGCGAAACACGTTTCCCTTTAAGAAACCACGCAACTTTTCCTTAGGGCCAACTGTGGTAACGGGCTTCTTTCCCAGCGGGTTTTTGCTTCTACTCGGACCAGAACCCACCAGCACTTCTCGCCCTGCCCCGGATCGCCCCGCCCCGGAATAACCCCTTGCACCTCCCCTCCCGGTGTTGCTCCTCCCGCGAGACTCCTAGAAGCGGAAGTGTATCCGGGAAGCCAAGCCGGGCTAGGGCTGTACATGGGCCCCTCCCGGATTGTAGGGAAGAGGCCACGTAAATTTGCAGACCGATTTGACGCTGGTGCGCTGACGTGGTTCCCGGAAGTGGGGTTGGCGCACGGTCGCCATGTTGTCTCAGGTGAGGGGCTGTGGGCGCGGAGAGCGGGTGGCCGAGGCTTGGCGGATGGGAGGGTCCCTCCTGGAGGGTTTGTGGAGTGAGCCGGCCGCACAGGGGCGGTTGTGATCGCGTCCCCTCCGGCTGTTCGTCTTGAGGAACAGCGAGGTGGGCGGGAGGGAATGGAGGACCGTGGGTAGTTGTCGCGGAGGTGTTCTGGGTGCTCGGAGGCCCTCGTAGGAGACAGTGACCCAGGAGTCGTCGAGCTCGGGAAGCTTGGGGGTGTGGAGAGGAGAAGCCCGTCCTCAACCAACGCCCAGCGCTGGGCGGCTCCGATGCTGGGCTGCAGAAGTTCTCTGTATGGTGGGTGGGTTGCGGGTGGTCTTTTTCCTCGGCCCGTCGTCGTGCACGCGAGGAGGTGAAAGGGGAGCGGCCTCCGGGCATCTCTTCAGCTCCCTTGTGACCTTCCCTGTAGGGGTGCCCTGCAATCCTGTAGGAATAGGAGACGCTGGCAGAGCCTTGCGTTCAGGTAGCTGTTACCACATTAATATTGATTATCGCGTTTGTGCCCTTAAAATGTAATTGTGGTCCAGAGGTTTTCGACTGGAGATTAATAAGTGTAATTTAATAATGTCCCCCTTTAAAAAATTACTGTTTATAGGGTACTTCCATTTAGATTATATTAGTGTTTTTTTTCTTTTGTTTCACAATTTACCGAGGAATTGTAGCTTAGGCACTGTTCTGGGTTCCAGGGATAGGGATGTGAAAAGTGTAGATAGGTTTCTTTTCCTGCATTGTCAGGTTTGGGGTGGGTGGGTTCAAGAAAATGGGGCATAAAGCAGGTAGGGAGGGGAGATGTGATAAGTAAAATAACCTAAGTTACTTTCAGATTATAATAGCAAAGTCGAGGTGATGAAATAGCATGTATCTGAAGTTAGGATAACTAGGATTTATGGTCAGAAAAGACTACTACAGGGTGACTTGAGAAAATCCAGTGGTGATTTAAATTCAGCTCTGTAAATTTGCACCCAGGCCTAATGAGGCTGAAGAAATAGACAAAACTATATCAGTTGTTTCTACTTTATAAGTTTGTGATCGTGAACCTCAAATTAGTCTCTCATGCTGCCAGACAACCCTGCATTTCTGTGCCATCAACCTCCTTCTTTGGCAACTTGTGCACTAAAACTTTTCTCAGTCCTTCAACATTTCCTCCCTTGTCTTCTCTCAGCTGGTAATCTTGCTTCTTGTTTCACTGAGAAATGGAAGTAATTAGAAAAGAATTTTCATACCACCTGCCTACCTATTTGCATTTTTACCCATAATTGCACTTGTATTTTATAATTGAACTGTCTGTGCTTTATTTTTTGACCATCCCCTCCTGCCCATTGCAAAGCATTGTTGCAGCAGTTCTTTTATCTTGCATTGCCAGTCCCCTCCCCTCACCCCCAATTTGATAAGCTTGTTCACATTTCATGTAAACATGCTTTAATTTCTCCTGTCTTCAAAAATAAAAACTTATGCCCACATAGTCTTTCAACTGTCACCCCATTCTGTCAGTTCTAGTCAACTTTTCGACCCCTTCCCCTCCTGTTCTGATCTTATTGAGGTCAACTGTTCAAAATATAGTAGTCACTTTGGTTTTCATTTTACTTGTTAAGAACATCTGACAAAATTGAATTCTCCTGGAAATACTTCCTGGGCTTTCCAGATCACTACCTTCTCTTGGGTTACCTACCACTCTTTTTAGTACTCCTTCTTAGTTCCCACTGTTTATTCTCACATTTTTTACTCAAGATATTGGAGTGTCCAGAGTCTATATTTGGCATCTCCTTTTAACTGTTCAGACAAAAACTTTGGAATCTTCCTTGACATCTTACCTATATTAACTCCATATTTAGTCCATCAGGTAATCCTGTCAGTTCTTAAGTATTTGGAATCTGCCCATTTTTCACCATCTCCACTGCATTTACCTGGAACAGCCCCTTACTTCTTGGCTTCATTATTTGAGTAGGCTCCTAACCAGTTTTCTAGTTTTATGCTTTTATTTCTTCCCCTCCCCTCTTTACCCTCCAGATTCTTCATACAGCAGCAGGAATTTTCTTAGGAGTCTGAATGTGTCAGTCCATTGCTTATAACACTAAAGGTTACCCCTCTCAAATTTTTTTATATAGTTCTTATACTAGTATCTTAATGTGCTCAAAATCAGACTTTTTAATTTACCCCCAAATCTGTTACACACATGTTTTTTTTTTTTTACTGTAGTAAATATAACTCGAGAATGCAGAACTAATAACTGCAAGATGGAGAGGAGGTAGGGAAGGGAAGAGCTTTTGAGTAGAAAAAAATGAAAACATGAAAGAAAGGTGGGAAAGACCATATAGTAAATGCATTGCTGCAAGGTCTAGTGGGAGAGAGTGTTGGAAGATTAGTAGGAGATCATGTGATGTGTGCTTTATGTGAAGAAGTTATTTTATCCTGTATGTGGAGGAGCACAATTGAAAAGTTTCAGCAGGGTAGTGACATGGTATGATTTCCACGGTGGATGATTGCTCTGTGGGTTATGTGGAGAAGAGACTAGAATGGACTAGTGTGAATGAGACTAGAAATAAAGGCAGGGAGGCTGGTGAGTGGCACTAGAAAGGCACAGTGAGCAGGGTTGTGTATGAGGCTTAACAGGAGTAGAAATAGGTTAGACTATGAACCACTCTTGAGAATCCTACATCTGTGAAGACAGGAGTGCAGTGGGAAAGTAGAAGACAGAGGGTATCAAGGTTTTTTAAATATTTTTTGAGCTGTAAATGGCACTTGAAGAAGTTCATATTCTTAAAAAGACTCAGTAAAAATGTATAAAGACACAAGAAGGTATAAATAAAATGCTTCTGAGGAAGCATGAAAAAGGATTATAAGCACAAATAGTGGGTTTAGCCAGCTATTATCAGATAATAGCATTGTGAGGAGTCATGGAAATAAGGGTGTGTCAGATGGTTTTGCGAAGGAGCCAAAAAAAAATTGAGTTTATTCCCAGTAGCTTTAGGTTTCTGTGACAATTGTGAGAGCGCTAAGAATAAATGTTAAGTTTGTAGGCACATCATCTGCACTCCATTGTTTCTAATCCATACCACTGGTTTTGCTTCAGGGTAATTTGCAGTTGTGCTATGCATAATTTCTCCCAGCTGCTGAGATGGAGACAGTTGATTCCTGAATGCAGGGGTATTTGTCAGGTGTTTGGAGTGGTAGGGTAGTAGAGGGTCTACAGGTGTCTCTTTCCTAAGTTGTGAATTTCTGATGCTATGTCCGTGTAATTTTATCTTCCATTTTAACAAGTGATCAGCCTTGTATATAGTAGGAATGTAAAT